ATGGAGGTGATGGTGGAGGCTGAGGTGTGAGGAGGAGGTAGGGATGGAGGTGATGGTGGAGGCTGAGGTGTGAGGAGGAGGTAGGGATGGAGGTGGTGATGAAGCTGGAGGTGATGGAGGTGGAGGTGATGGTGGAGGAAATGATGGAGGTGAAGGAGGTTGTGTTGAAGCAAATGGCAGAGTTGGTGGAGGTGGTGATGGAGGTGGAGGTGATGGAGGGGGAGGTGATGGTGGGGGAGGGATAAGGTGCTCACACTTGTGTGGCTGTGGCCTGGATGCCCCCATGGGTGACCAGGGCCCAGTAGCCTCCAGTGCTGGAATAGAAGGTGCACTTCTTTGTCTCCTGGTCAATTTGCATCAGGAAGGTCTCATGGTCCAGTTCTTCGTCCTGATTGGCTGAGACGTTGACCCCTGCAGGGAGGAGATGAGGAAGCCCCTCGCTCCTCTCCCTGGGGGTTGCTCCTCTCCCTGGGGGTCGCTCCTCTCCCTGGGGGGTGGGGAGGTCCTCCCCCCAGGACAGGACCTCTGGACTTGAGAAGGTTTAGAAGGCCCTCTTAGGCGTGTGGGTGTGGACACATTGAGAACCCCACACCCGTTGTGAACTGCCACCTTGGGGGTCCTTGACACCCCGCCTCAGCAGGCCCTTCCGTGCCAGCAAATCTTGGCTCTGTTAATCACATAATCTCCTTCCACCTACCCTGTGCTCTGGGATTTACAACCGGCCCTTAGTTACATCTGGCCCTAAGTCACTGAGTAGGCATAGTGGGGTCTGTCCTTCTCAAGCTGGGACACAGCCAGGGCCTATCCCCTGGGCACCAGGCAGGGTCCTGTCACCTCCGACCTCACCACTTGTACATGCTGGGCCTTAGGAGCCCTGGGAAAGGACCAGGCTGCCCGGGGCACTGCCTGGCTCCTGAGGAACATCCATGACGGTTTGGGGGGTGGGGATTCTCAGCATCTTCCCATAACCATGTCTCTGTTTCCATGGCAATCTGCCACCCTGAGTCCATGGCAGATCACAGAGCTCCCCACACAGGCCCAGGGTGGGCAGGCAGAGCCTCACAAGGGCCCAAGGGTCAGGGTGGCCAACGCCACCCTAAGGAAAGGCAGGCCGCAGCCAGGGGCCCCCAGCAGAGAGGCTGGGACCGGCTCCTGGAGGCTGCTCCCTCCAGAGCCCCTCCCCCAGCCTGAGTCCCCACGACACTAGTCACTGTGTGTGCCCACGGGAAGGCGACTGGGCGTCTACTGCCATTCCCGCCCAGCAGCCAGCATGTGCCATACCTGGTGAGCTCCCACACTGGGACCCCTGTGAACACAGCAGCCCACGCCCACCGATGAGGCAGCCAAACAAAGTGGTTGGCGATAGGAAACAGGCTGACCTGGGCTTCAGGCAGGTTCAAGGGCTAGTTGTCAGGCTGAAGCCCAGATACCCGGAGGCCAGTCGTGTGCCCTCAGCCTCATTGCAAAGGAAGCAAAGGGTGGGTGTCTGGTGCTTCCAGCTTCTAAAGTGTCAGTGGGTCCAGTGAGAAGATTCCCCCATCAAGAAGGCAGGGTTCAGACCCAGAGTGGCCACAAAGAATGAACAATGAATGATTCCTACAACCATCATCTCTCCATGCCCACCAGTCATAACTGCCACCATGACTGCCACTACCTCAACCTGCACCACTTTGACCAGCACCACCTCCACTTCCCCCAGCGTCACCTCCACCCCCCACCAGTCCTCAGTGCCACCGTGACTGCCACGCCACCACTACCTCAACCTGCACCAACCACCATCACTGCCACTACCAGAACCACCACCACTGCTACCACAACAGCTTCCTTTCGCACCACTGTCACCATTACTGCTGCCACCCCTGATGTGGCACAGGGGATGATGGAGGTTGAGGTGGTGAAGTGGGGGGGGGGGCATGATGGAGACACAAGTGGTAGAGGTGGTGGTGCCTCTACCTCCACCAGTGTCATGACTGCCACCATGCCTGCCACGCCACCACTACCTCAGCCTCCATCAACACCGTCACCACCACCAGCACCACTGTCACGTCCAGCACCACCTCGAATCCCCTCCACACCCTGTATACAGGCACCGTCCCCTCAGACTCCAGGAGCCTGTGGGGCTGGCGGAGACTCACTACTGTTCTCTCTGTTGCCTTGAGAGCCAGTTAAGGCTTGACACGCATGAGGCCCTGGCCTACACTGACTGTGTGGCTAGACCTGTGACGGACAAGACCAGGGCTGGCTGTCCACCATGGTGCCCAGGACCTGCCAGCAGGCCTGGACAGCAAGCCCTCACCTGGCATCTGTTGAGGGCATGTTGGGTTCCAGGCCCCTGCCCCTACAGCCTCAGCCAGGCCTGTCCTCTCGGGTGCTCAGGGCTGGGCCAGCTTTCCCAAGGGTGCAGGCAGTGGGTGGCGGTGTGAAACTGCGGCTAGGCAGTACAAGGGCAGGCAGGGGCTTGGTGCAGCGCTAAGTCTCCCTCGCCTGCAGTGGACACAAGGAGCTGGCCCTCGGCTGGCAGGCCAGCCCAGAGAGGGCCTGGGTGGAGGGGGCTCCACACTGGCTTCTTCCTCCCTGCCCCCCTCAGCCTCCACGCCCTCAGACCCACATGGGGACTTGCCCCCATCTCTGGGCTTCCTCACAGAAGAAGGAGATGTTCCACCTTCCAGTTTAAGGAGTCTTGAAGGGATGTCACAGGAAGGGCCATCATCCATGTGGGGCCCAGCTCCCACCCAGGCTGGAGGGGGCCCCGAGGCCCTCCCCGACTCCCCACTCTGCGAGGGCTCCCATGGGTCTAATACAGTGGGTTGGGGCCTCTGTTCCGGCCCCACTCCACCCCTGACGGTTCCCTGCCTCCATCCTTCCCCCTCTGCCCACCTGGGCCTGCTCATCCCCATCAGGAGGAGAACTCCACGAGGCCAGGGGAACGTTCCTCAGCTGTTGAGAGAAGGGCTAGGGCCGCTTCCCTCTGACCCCCAAGCTACCAGCGTTCAAGGCCCACCCCACACTGTGGTCAGCCCCCTACACACTGACATGGATACACGTATGTCACACACACACTGCACACACGTGTGCACACACAGACAATGCCACGGAGGCGGTGGCGCCTGGTCACCTTGCCGCACAGACACATAGCGGTGGTTGGCAGCCATCAGCACCACCTGTGGGTGGCTCTCTTCCAGGTCAAAGAGCTCGTCCTTGCTGGGACGCAGGTTGCGCCCGGCCCTCAGGGTGCCGGCCGGCCCCACGGGCGCGAGGTAGCGGCCGTCACAGTCCTTGAAGGCCAGCTTGCCGGCCTTGAACTCGAGTGTGTAGTGGGCACGGGCCTCGGGCTCCCAGACCAGGCGGCCGTCGCTGCGCAGGTAGCGGCTGTCGCAGGCGCGGAGGCAGTACTGGCGGTTCTGGAAGGTGAGGGTGACAAGTGCGTCCACGCCCCACGGCGTGTTGCTGTCCGCGGCCATCTCGTCCTCCTGGGGACACAGGTGCACGTAGCGCCGCCGGCTCACGCTCAGCAGGTGGGCCTGCGGGTGCGTGGCCAGGTGCACGGTCCACAGCTCGGCAGGGGAGACGGCCGTGGCGAAGCAGGACAGCCGGTCCTCGGTGCCACCGAAGAAGCGGCCGTGGGGCTCCGACTGCAGGGCCCAGCGCCCGTCGGGCTGCGGCCGCACCAGGAAGCGGCAGTCCGGGCCGGGCCGCTCAGCCTCGCAGGACACGCGCCCGTCCTGCCCCGCCGCCAGGTAGCGGCCCAGGTGGCTGCGCAGGAGCACTGCCGCGCCGTGCCCGGCGTCGGGCTCCAGCACCCAGATCTGCTTGCGCTTGAGGCTGGGCGCCGACGCGTTGACCTTGAAGCCGAAGCTCTCGGCCGTCAGGTAGCGGTCGGCGTCGTTCAGGAGGCCGAACTGGATCTTCAGCACCTGGTGCAGCCCGTTGGTCGGCATCCTGCCCCCGGCCGTCACGGCGCCCAGGGCCCGGCGGCGTCATGGGCTCCCCCGCGCCCTGGCCAGGCCGCGGAGGGCGGGTGAGGAGGGCGGCCCGGGCACCACCTCTAATCGCCCCGCTTGGATCTCAGCCACCCAGGGTCCCGTGGCCAGAGGCCCGCGGGCTGGCGGGCAGCGCTGGCCGCCACCTGCCGTGCGCCCTGTCCCCTCGCTGCCGGCCCGACCCCAGGCCGCCGCGCGCTCCCCGGGCGCAGGAAGGGCTGCGGTGGGAAACGCGCGCAGCCGCAACCTGATCGCAGCGCGCCCCGCGCGCCGGCTCCGGTTACCGGCTCTCTGATTCCTGCCGCCAGGAGCTGTGGAGGCCCCACCCAGGAGCCGCCGCCCGCCCACCGCACAGCGGTTCCCCCGCCCGGGAACAGTAGGCAGGAATCCGGCCGGTGGGGGGCCGGGCCCAGGCACCTGCCTCCTGACGGTGACCCTGGAGGCTGTGCTCCACACTCAGGCTCTGGTCCTGGGATCCAAGCCCTCTGGGCGGGCCAGGCAGGCAGTCCAGTGGAGGCAGGGGTACCGGTGTCTTGCACCTTTGGGAAGGGGAGGGAGGCGTTGTGGAGTCCCCAGGTGGCATGCACACGGGGCGGGGGGGGGGGGCCGCAGACATCAGCCTGAGTGGCCCAGGCCTTCAGACCAGGGTCCAAGGACCTCCCGGCTGGCTCCTGTATGTGACCAAATGCCAGGCTCCAGGGGTCTGCTTCCTGGCCTACAGGTGCATCTGGGTGACACTGCCCACACAGACCTGCTGGGTCTTGGGGACCAGACAGTGGCCGGTCTGACTGTATGTAGGACCTTGTGGGTTCTGGTTCTGGGGCTAGGCCATGAGCCTGCATGAAGCCCGGAGAGGGGCCTGGAGGCCAGAGGCCAGCAGGTCGGTGCCCCTGGGGCCTGCTGTGGGCCTGAGGCCGCACCCTCAGCAGCCTGCTGCCTGTCTTCGGCACCTGCCTCAGGGGAGGGGAGCCAGGAGTGGAAACCAGAGTCTGTCCTGGGCCAGGGCCAGCGCGGTGTCCTCTTTCCCACCACAGTGTGTGGCCCTCAGAGTCCCAGGGACCAGAACAGGGCCCCCGTGGTTCCAGCCACTTCAGGCCTTGTGGGTCGTCCACGGTGAGCTCCCTACAGTTCCGGCAGAGCCTGGGAGGAGCAAGGGTCGGGTTCATTCTCTGTTCTCCACGGCACCAAGGGCCAGAGGGGTAGGCCCCCCGTCCTCACGCACAGGCCACAGCATGATGGGGTGAGCAGGCTGCAGGCCACCCACTGGGGGCTCCCCAGTGGCTGGCCCCATCCACGTGCATTTAAGGGGCACCAACTGTGTGCCCACTGAGCCACGTGCCAGCATGCATCCCGCCCCCAGGAACGCTGGGACTGGCCCCTCCCTGTCCACACAGCATCCCTACAGTCCCGGGGGCCTCGGCACCAAGCCCAGCCTGGATGTGGGGAGTCCCTGTGCACAACAGCCAGGCATGCCGTCTCTGCACCTGTCTGCCCTCGGTGTCCTGGACGTCCCCTCTGCGGCCCCCTCCAGGGCTGTTGGGAACCCCAGGGGCACATGCCCATGCCCCCTGGGTGCAGGCCTTGCCACTCTGCTTCTCTGCCTCCAGCCAGCCTGCTAAAGAGCACACCACCAGTCCCTGTCCTCTGATTAGCATAATGGCTCATTAGTGCTGACGGGCACTGGCATCTGGTGCCCTGCGGGAGGAGCAGGCTGCCAGGCGCTAATGGGCCTGGCTCAGGGCGGCCACTCAGCAGCAGAGCCAGAGTGGCTGAGAGCCCTCTGCACAAAGTGGGGCTGGGGGCTGCCTGACGCTGACCAGACGCGTGATTGAGGGGCCTCCTGCGCCTGGCGGGGCAGCGCTCTGACAGGCGGCCCCCAGCCCAGGCTTTCCCAGGGAAAAGGCTGCCTCTGCCCCACCACCCGCCCAGCTCCCTCAGGGCCCAGGTTCTTGCCCCACTGCCTGCTGGGTAACGGTCCTTTCTGGGATCCCCAGCAAGGTTGGTGGCACACTGCAAGCAGTTGGTCAGTGCCTGAGTCCTTGGCATCGGGGTCTGGTGCTGATGCAACGGGGTGGGCTCTGTGCAGGTGTGTGCATGCCTAGGTGTGTCTCTGTATGCGCACACACACGTGTGCGGGCTCGGGGTGCTGTGCGTGTGTGTGTGCAGCCGTGTCTGGGCATATCTCTGCATGAGCATGCATGAGTGTGCATGTGTGATGTGCGTGTTTGCCTTGCGTGCATGTGGACGCGCACTGGTCGTCTGCTGGACCACCCTGGAACCAGCCTCCGCTGTCCTAATTCCTCCAGCTCAGGAAGGCCATCAGGCCCCGCACTGCACCCCACTGGGGCAGCCCTCCACACACACACACACGTGACTACCTGAGACTGCAGAGGGCATGTGGGGTCCAGCCCCCTCCTGTATCTTCAGGCAGCAGGTACCCTGCCTGGGACCCTATCTGTCCCGAGACCCCTGCCCAGCCCTGTGGCTACACCCCAGCCAAGGTGCAAATTCAGCACCCACACGGGGTGCGTGAATGTGCCTGAGGCTGTGGTGTGTCCAGACGGCCTTTGGGCCACCGCACGCGCCTCTAAGCCTAACCAGCCCTTCCTGGGGTGGATGTGTGTACCCCGGCAGGTGGCCCTGAGACCAGGTTCACACACAGTTGTTGGGCTGTCCACATGTATAAATGGTTCCAATTTGAGGAGCGGGTTCTTCCTAAGGGACATTGGGGGGCCATTTGGGGGAGCAGCATCCCAGGCCCCTACTTCAAGGGACAGCCAGATGGCCCTCTCTGGCTGCAGCTGGGTCCCAAGGTAGGGCACACCTGAGCTACTGAAGTCCCCAGCAGACAAGGCCAAGGCCAAGCTCCAGCCCCTACCCGCCCGTGAGGGTCCTGCCGAGGACAGGAGAGGGGGCCCTGAAGTCCCCAGGGCCTGGTCTCCACCCTGTGCAGTCACGTCCCTCCCTGGGCCTCTCAGGAAATTATCTTTCCCAGGACTTCTCTGGGGATGCTGGCCGATGGGCAGGCCGGCCCCTGGATGGTCTGTCTCCCTGCCCCTCCCCACCCAGGCAGGCCCCGGCTGGGGCTACAGGGAAGGATCAGGCCCCCTGCCCAGACTGCTGGCCCTGGACACAGGAGCCCAGCTGGGTTCTGCTGGCCCGCTGCCCACTGCCATGGCAACTGGCGTGTGCTCCAGGCCTGGTGCCCAGGCAGCTCGGATGCTGGTGGTGTGAGCTGGCACAGGCCCTGTGTGTGCACGTGGGTGAGGGAGGGTAGCCTGGGGACTAGGGGACCACATGGGATGTTTCCTCACACTGGGTCACTGGGGCTCAGAGGACAGCTCCCCACGCTAGCTGCTCCCCCAGAACCCCCGCACCGGCCCTGCGTCTCCTGTTTATGTTTTTGTCCCAGACCTGCCCATGGGCACTCTGATCAGCTGCTCTCTCTGGCCGGGCCCCCATTGGGGTCTCTGTTGGGCCTGCACCCAGGCTGGCCCCCCTGCGAGGGCCAAGCTGGCCGGGCCCCGATTTCCTCCCTCTGGGCCTGGCACTCGCTCCCGTCTCCAGCCTGGCCGGTTCTGGGCCGGCCTCCTCACTGTCCGTGAATGTGGGCCCAGGCACATTCTTCATGAATGTTTCACGGTGGACTGTGTTCCCCGTGGTTCCACTTACATGGGCGGGCAGCACGTCTCTTACTCCGGCCTGGGTTGGTTTACCTGAGGCCTGCAGCCGGGGTTTAGGGTGACAGGCCCCCCAGTGAGGCAGATGGGAGGAGGGAGAGCATGCTGGAACAGAGAGCCTGCCAGCGGGGGGCACCCACGCCCAGCCCGCGCCCTGCCTAAGCCACATGACCGTCTTCAGTCCAGGCGCCCAGCCCGCGCCCTGCCTAAGCCACATGACCGTCTTCAGTCCAGGCGCCCAGCCCGCGCCCTGCCTAAGCCACATGACCGTCTTCAGTCCAGGCGCCCAGCCCGCGCCCTGCCTAAGCCACATGACCGTCTTCAGTCCAGGCGCCCAGCCCGCGCCCTGCCTAAGCCACATGACCGTCTTCAGTCCAGGCGCCCAGCCCGCGCCCTGCCTAAGCCACATGACCGTCTTCAGTCCAGGCGCCCAGCCCGCGCCCTGCCTAAGCCACATGACCGTCTTCAGCGCAGGCAGGTGGGCTCCCCTCCCACCCTCCCCTTCCCTTGGGTCCTCAATGTGGAAGGCCGATTGGCTCTCCTGGCTTTTGTCCCTTATAAAACCATAAAGTCATGGGAAAGGGTGTGCCTGGCAGGGGCAGGGAGGGGGGACACCTTGCTAAGGTGATGAGGTGTGGGAAGCAGGTGGCCAGAGGTCTCTGGACGCTTCCCTAAAGCCCCAGGCTCCAGCGTGGGCGAGAGTCCCCGGACCACGTGGGCATCTCAGTGAAGCCTGGTTCCATCCTCCAACACCACAGTGCGAGAGCCCAGTCGCCTGGCACATCCCTGGGGGGATGTCACATATATGCAGGGCTCAACTCGGGGAACACTGATGGCTGTTTCCTGCCCACCTGCACTTACAGACAGACATGCGGTGGCCACAAATGTGCCAACACCTGGTGTGGACAGTCACAGCCCACAACCCTGTAGGCAACCATAGCAACCTCTGGCCAGCCCCCCTCCATGGGCGCCTCCACCCGCAGACACACATGTACAGCACCAGACCTCATGTGGGACAATCCCAACACTGAATACCTGACGCTTACGAGATGAACACGTTCCAGAAAGTCAAAAACAAAAACAATGGAGAAAGAACCTTAAGAGGTTTAAACATTCAATCCATTGGGGTTCTGAAAGGGAAAAACAGAAGACGTTAATAAGGGAAGATCTGTCAGGGAGACCTTGCCACTGTTGTCACCAGTGAGTCAGCTCCAACTCACAGGGACCTGTGACAGAGCTGCCCAACGAGTTCTCTTAGCTGTCACCTTCGTGGGAAGG